GGTTGCAATGCCTGGGTGGAAGAGAGTCAGCCTGCCAAGCTGGCTGTGAGGAGCAGGAAGAGCATCCTGCCCCTCATCCCAATGTTTCTGGCTTCTGTTGCATGTGGTGGGCATTGGCTGTTTGAAGCTAGAGCTGTTGGTTCCTCTGTGAGATGGAAGAATTTGGTGCTCTGGGACAGCAAGAAGCTTGTTGAGCACACATTATGTCCTGCTGCCTAGGCATTTTGCTAGGCCTGTTGAAGAAGCTGCAGATGCTCCCCAGAGGACACGCAGGCTGTAAGAGTGTCTGTTTCCCCAGGTTCTGTACCTGGCGTTCTGTAAGCTTTCAAGTCCTTGGGTCGGAACACCATCGTCTGTGCCGGCGCAGTATGGTAGATGTGTTTGTTGGCAGGATCCGTGGTATAGTCACCTGGGACAGAGAAGAGGCAGAAGAAGAAGTGAAGCTTGGGACCTAACTTAAACTGAAGAGGAGAAGTAAGAAGGAGGTGCTCAGTCTTGCTTGTTTTCTGCCTGGAACTCTCTGAAGCCCATTCAGGGCTTGAGCAGAGAGTTTTGTGCCCAGGTGGCACAGGACAACAGTAAGGCATGCTTGCCTGGCCTGGAAGAAGGACTGCAGAAATGCTACTCACTGGGTCCAGGGGTGACCTCAGTCTTGGTCTTTGGACGTCCCATCATATGTGCAGATGGACCCACATACTTCCCAGTCTTGCTGATGGATGGATGGATGTAGTACCGAGGACCTGGTGAGCAGCTGTATTCAACGGGACATTTGGTCCCTCGAAATGAGTATGCAGGGGCTCTGTCCCTGGTAGGATCATGAGCTGCATGACCTGGGAAGACAAGCCTGTGAAAGGACCTGTGCCTGCAACTGTGTAGTGAAAGGAAGTTTCTAAGTGGAAGTAAGCGGTGTGCTGTGGCTCCTGCTGCCACTGCTTCCCTGTGATAATTTACCTGTTGTCCCAGGAATCCAGTACTTGGGACCTGGGGTGTTGAACTCTGCAAGGACTGGGCCCCGTCGGGGATGAGGTCTCCAACTGCCTACCCAGGGTCCCTGCATGCTGGTGGCTAAATAAACTACAGGAAAAACAGGAGAGCTACCAAGGTCTTTCCTGACACAGCCCTGGTACGGAGCTTTCCTGTAGCCCAGAGTAGGAAGAAAGTGAAGCAGAGTAGGAAGAAAGTGAAGCTAGCATCACGGAGCAAAGTGAAAGAAAGTGAAGATGTGAAAGATGGAAGAGAAGGCGGAATGGAAGCAAAGCAGCAAGTTAGAAGCAAAGATGCAGAAAATCTCCCTGCTGTGCCTTCAGGCAGTAATTGTTGGCCAGGCCAGCAGCAGTGGAGAAGCGCAGAGCTGGCCTGGCAGGATGGTAGCCCCCAGCGTGTGTGCACGCAAACTTGGTCAGCTGGAGTGTGGTGCTGACTGGGTGTGGTTCTTGCAGGGACACCAGCTCCTCCGTGACATCATAATCCATTGCTAGGTGGATCCATCCTCATTGATGTCCATAGCCAGGTGATATCCCAAAGGGCCATTCTCACCCAGTGATGAGCAAAGCCCACTGTGATGCTGAGACCCCTGCAGCTGTTCGTGCTGCAGTGCTGCCGTATTGCCTGTATGGCTCCTCTGGGGCTGGGCAGGGGGCAGCCATGGAACTGGCTCAGTCTGTTGTGGGGCAGCCCCAGTTTGTCCTCACACACCCCACATGTGCACAGACATCCAGCACAGCCTTTTCTAGTCCAGTGGTGCCTGAGCAAAGGGCTTTTGTCAAATGAGCTCTATCACCCTGAACTGCTGGCCACAGAGCTGAGAGAGCTGAACTGCTCAGAGCTGACAGAGGCTTCTGCTTCAAGGCATCCTTGAGAGCTGCCCACTCTAATTCTCACCCCATTCTCTGGAAATCCAAGGAGAATCCTTTTTATATCACCGCTTTGCCAGGGGGGAAAAGACAACCTCCCCAATAATTGGAAGTAAACATGCCCTGTCTCAAACTTGCACTTCCTTGCTTCAGCCCTTCCATTAACAGGAGCTCTGGGGGGAACAGAGTGAGTAAACTGCTGATGTGGCTTAACTTCTGTCCAGTCTCAACAGCTAGTTTTCAAATTCTTATTTAGCAACAATGTAAGAATAGCCTTATTTGGGGGTGAAAAAATGTTGAGAGTTAGCTGTAACTGCCACTTACTGTGCCTGCAGGCATTTACAATGGGACATCTGAAACGAGACGGGGAGTTGATAGTGTCCAATGCTTGTGCTTAGTATCTTTTTATGCTTTTTCAAGGTCTCTGTGCTATTAGAGAGGAGAGAGAGAGCAAAGCTATCAGTAATCTCAGTTGTTCTTGCCTCTACATTTGAGGGCCCCCAGTGTCTGCATCACTCCTCAGATGCTACAGATGTCTTCAAGCAGATTTCTCCCTTTAATTCCCACTTCTCCAGGTTGTTTTGGGAGTTCATGGTCACCAGGATTTTCAGTGTTGATGCTTCAGGAACACATGAACTCTTTCAAGGTTTCCCTGGGAGGGTTAAAGACAGAGTTAAGTTTAATTAATCTGATTTTTCCAGTAGTGGATGAATGTCTATGCCTACAATATGCGTCCTCCTGCCAGGTTTTTCTGTCCCCAGATTTCATGACTCTTTGTTAGCACTGCCAGTCATTACCCATGCTTTGTTTTAGTGACTCTTTAAAGTTTTCAGTCTCCAAGTTTTTATGGTTTGAGACTCTTATGGCTTTTCTTTCATTGCTGTGCTACATGGGCTGTGGTTAATATAGCACCAGTTAGGAAACACATTCTGAAGCAGATAAATTGTGATTTAAATGGAGATGCTGTGGGTGATGTAAAATAATGGAGTGGTGTAGCAGTTTAGGTTTGTCAATTTGAGTTTCCTGGGCAATGCACCAAATAATATAGTGGGTTATAGTGGGTCACTGGCTGAAATCATCAATGCACCTACGAGAATTATTTACTCATTTTTTGATGTGAGATATGAGTTAGGAAGAGAACAAAGCAGGTTCAAAACTTAAAAGGTATAAAGAAAACTTTATTAACAGAACTAAAAGAATAATAAGAATCATAATAAAACCTTCAGAACATTTTTCCTCTCCCTGCCTGAGTTCTTTCCCAACTGACAACATAGAGACAAAACCTGGGATTTTTAATCAGTTACCAACTCTACAATAGTCATTCATCAGTTCTTCTAGGGATAGGAGTTTTCTCTCACCATGACATGGAGACTTCTCCACAAGAAACAGTTCTCTTGTAGCTTTTTAATTTTCACAAATAACAGCTGCCTGGAAAATTTGCAATAGTGAAGTTCTTCCCATTTTCACAGCCTTCCCACCACTGAGTTAATGGGTCATGTCAACTTATGGGGTACTTTATTTAAGGATGAGCTGTTCAAAAGCAAAGGTTCTCTTCATCTATCTCTGTGACCACCTTCATCTCTGGAAACGGAGGTCTTCTTTCCCTGGAGGCAAGCACCCTGTTATCTCTTCAACGCCGGAAGCAAGAGAGATATTTCCCAGGCTTGCCCATCTTTAAAATGTGGATTTCACAGAGACAGACCCAGCATCTAAATCGTTCAATAGGTTGTCAATTCTCAGAGCTAGCCAGCTATTGGTTTTTGCTAAGCACAGCTTAGCAGCTCCTCCCAGAAAAATCATCTCTGTGGGTGGCTTCATCCCTCCTCGCCAAATGTCAATTCATCCAAAACCAGCACAAGTGGCAAACCAGTTTAGAAGACATAAGAGTCCCTTAGCACAAGCTGATCTGTAGAGTGAAGGGCACTTAAACTTCAAAGACACACACACAGATAGAATTTTCTTCCATTGGTCAAGTACTCATGCAGTGGTAACCAGCAGTTTTCATAACACTTTCAGTCTTTGATACACTAAAAAAATTATATATGAACTTTCTCTCTCACCATAAGTGAAGCAGATATTGAGAAGACTGGCAAGAGTTAATACATTACCAGTGCAGCTGGCTAATCACATTTCTTGTTGGATTATATTAAAAATGCCAGCATTAGTTGATGAGGCCTAACCAGTTCTTGTGTTCTTGGTGGCATTCATCTGAATCTTTTGCATCCATTTTTTAACTCCTGCGTTCCTCTGTGTCCTGTATCAGTGCAAAGCTAACAATTTAGTTTTGTTTAGATGATGCTTTGGAGCCTACTGATGGCAGCTCCTCCAGACTTGGGGCATTGTCTTCACTCAGGAAACTTAAAAAACAGCCATTCCAGTAAACAGCCTTCTTGGGTGATGGCATGTTAACTCTGAAGCCTACTGATAACAGCTACAGAGGAAAGCTTTGCAGTGGGTTGGAGGTGTTAAAGTTGGAGAATAATGATAACAGCCCCCCAGAAGCATCCCACAGAAGGGGCATTTACCCTGGTGCCTATTAATAGCGATCCCAAAAACCATCCCTTGTGCAGAACATTTAAAAAATGAGGGGACAGCCCTCAGCCAAAAGGTTGTTTCCCAAAGTTGCCATCTGCAGGCTCCAGAGCCTAGAATGAATGAAAGCTAGAAGTTTATTCACATAGTCTGTGAATAGTGATAGGCAATGACTTGCAGAACAGGGTAATTTGCTGGTATTGAAACTGACAGTGGGCGTAACGTACTTGGCACATTTTTAATATACTTAGCATATTTTATTTCAAACTTCTTAAAAGGATATGCTGTAATTGATCTGTTTTTAGTGAGAGTATGGAAGAATGTTGCTGGAAGCCTGTATCAACAGAAAAGGATGGCAGAATTAAAAGATGCCTATTAAAACTGATTAAACTCTTCAATAGTAATTACTGTGTATGATATATTATCCACAAATAACTGGATACCTATACATTTTCACTGCATGTTACAAGATCTTTGGACAGTACACTTCAGGAAGTAAAACAGTTGGCTTAATTAAAACAAAAAATAGTATAACAGATTTTACATGTATGCTTCAGACATAATTTCAAGTTAAAAATGTCAGCAATTAAGTTTGATGTAGTTTCATCTTTTGGTTTTAAAAGAGATGGAGGTTTAAATACCTATAAATTTGAAGGCTTTCATATCTGTGCAGTTTCCATTCTGATTCAGTTAAGGATGGAATTTGAGTCTACCCCTCATCAGCAAGGTCATCTTAACAATTAATGAAAATGCTTAGATAAATTTGTCTGGTTTTCTTTTTTTTCTGTTACTCCACTGCAGACCTTTAACAGTAGCGCTCCAATGCTAAGAAATATTAGTCAAAAGTTTAATTGCATGGAAGTGGCAAGAACCCTCACCATGAGTGTTATTTTGGTTCAGAGAACACAGACTAGACTTATCAGACTCCATTGTACCTCTGTTTTTTAAAATAATGTTAAACATTTCCATTGACATCGATTCCAGTAATGTGTTTGGTGTCAAGTATGTAAATGCACTTAGAGGTCCTGAGGCTGTCTCTATAAGCCCTTCAAAACTGTAGAACTGCTGCTTCAGTCTAGGGACTCATACATGGAATTCTTGCTGGACCAAACAGTCTGACAGATGTTTTTTGACATCAAAATGAAAAATAAAAGAGACATAAACTCCAAATCACTAATTACTTTTTTTTTTTTTTAGAATGTATGATGATAACTATATGTTCATAGGAGAAACTAATTTGATTTACAGTTCTCATAATTAAATTAATGCCATGTATTTAATAAATCCAAAACAAGCCTTTAAAACAAAAATTTGAGATTGCACAGGCATCAAAATCTATGGTATCACATAACTTATTGTTTATACAGTCAGGAACTGGCTTGTACAGCTCTAATCCTTCAAGGAAGATCATGGTATATGTGGAATAACTGTGAAAAGCAGCATGGGATTGGAGAATGTGTTCTATAGAAGGGCTGTGTTTCTGTGTTTTCTAGAGAAAGGTGTAACTGAGGCCCCTTCCTCTTAACCTTTTATTGAGCTGAACAGAGCTGCTCACTGAGGAATGTCATGCCAAATATAGCTTGGCTCTAGTTTACCCCAGAGCAAGGGGATAACTCCCACAGGAGTCTCACTGTGCAGCATCTTTATCAGAGCTTATAGCTAGTTTATAACAAAGAAACCATTACATTTTTACATTAAGTTAAAATGTTAACTTTAATTCTTCTGTTACCTTAGTGGAATGAACTATTATTTTTTTTATTTTCAAGTAAGACAACATAGGCTTGAAATTAAGTCTGTGATAGGTAATTTGGGGTTTTTTTAATAATAATAAATTTATTAATGAACTTTTCAAACAAAAAGAAGAATAAGAATAGTATCTTATAAAGAATATTATCTAAGGAAAAAAAAATATTTGCAAGGAGAGTATTACCTCCTATTTTTGGAATTTCTCTAAGATTCATGTCTTGGCTGTATTTCAAGAATCTGTCTATAGGTTGCATTCCTGAGCCTATCAGCCTTACAGATCGGTTAATAAAAGTCAATCAGTGATTGTTTAACTTGCCTGCTACTGCCTGAAGCAGAATTACAAAAGCCAAATGTGTTCAAAACTCCACCAGGAGTTTCTGTCATCTTAAAACTCCAAGTGTATGACCTCATGGCAACTAAAAAATAAATATTCCACAACAGCTTGAAGAAACTTGCAGTTACTATGCATTCATGTCAACAAAATAAGAAATCACACTTGAGGAATAGCAATGTTTTCACTTTCTGCTCTTGGAATAATTCATTTAGAAATGGAAACTAATGGCAAAAGCACCATGAATATGAAACAACTGACAAGGAGAAACTAACAAATGCAATTAATTAGAAAATAGTAATGTGATTGCTAAGTGAGAAGGTTTATAAGCAACATAGAATTGTCATGTGCATTAATCAGGTTCACTGCAGTTACAATTAACTATTCAATATTAAGCTTCCTCACATATTCTGAATATCCTGACTGATTTACCATGAATTTCTATGTAGTCCTGACTTTGAACTTTCATTAGTGTTCTTTCTTCTGTATACTCAGCTAGGGTATATTTTGTTTCATGAAGATGACTTTCAAATGCACTAAAGTAATTTGTTAATGCAAATTGTTTTTCTTTCATGAAATCACACACAATTTTAGTTAAATGTGAGGTGAAACACTCTAAGTAATTGCTATAGAAACAAATATGCAATCAGCTTTCATTAATTTTTAAGTGAATTGGGGGTGTTATTCTTATAATGAAACAGTATTATATCTTCTTAATCCATTGATCTAATTCATAACTTAGACCTAAGAATTAGTGAGAATATTTTACTTGTGTAATGGGAATTGAAGCTAGCAAATAAAGTGATTTTTTTTAGTTCAATCAGGAATTTTAGTTCAACTGTTTTAGCAATAGTATTTTCATATGCATTTTCTTTCAAAAATAGCATTTCTTCTCACAAATACATGTTCTAGAATCTTTAAGATTATATAAATACAGCTTTAAGATGTAAAAATTGGGAATAAATTCTGTCTCCTGGTTCCACAACCAGAAAGCTACATGCCATTTGCCTCAAAGTCTAAGAAAATTAGCTGCTGACCATTTTACAGTAAGTTTAGCAGTACAATTGTGAAAGACTGGGCAATAACACAATTCATCCAATTTGTACACAGTCTTCCTTCAAAGATTGAGCAGTTTTTGCAACTTCAAGGGTTTACATGCCTAGCAATGGGGATGTGGCACCGTTGCAAAATTGTCTGGGAAATGCAGCAGTGGACTTGGCCAAGGAGGTGTATCTAGCCTTGGCCACTGGAGACCAGCAGTACTATCATTAGGAGAATATTAGGCACATTTTACAACGTAATCTGAGATCAATTTCTTAAAACTACTTCACATGCTCTTTCTATTTTTCAAAGTTCATGATGGATCACGGTCTTGAATTTAAAGGACATACATGTGAGAAGAGCTCAGGTTTTAGAAGAAGCATGGATCTGAACTTACATTAGAGAAATACTGAAGTCTGTGTTGATTTTAATTAGCATGGATTATTTAATCTGTGGAAAGTTAGAGTTTAATATTAGAAAAGCGAGACTTGAAAACACACACTCCTGTGAAATTCTGCAAAATGAAGAGTCAGATTTGGGCTTTAGTTTCTCATCAGTTTCTTGTTGATAGGCATAGTGATTTCCACAGTCGATGTGGACTTACTTATACAGATAGTTTAATTTCAGAATGCATAGTTCAATGCAAAAGGAGATTAGAATATCAACCAGTATCAGTGCAGGGCTTTTTTGGGTTTTTTTTAAAATATTTGGCTTGTTAGCAGTAGGATTTTTGAAAAAAAACATCCTTACAGTAAGCTCCTTGGTAAGCAGAGCTTATGAAGGCTATCAAGAAATAGCCTTGCACTTCAACAGAAATATTTTCATTTGGTATCAGCAATCAGCCTAACTCCTCTGAAGGCCTCAGAATTGGTTCTGCTAGCTTTTCTCTTTCCTCTGGTTCATTCCTCAGGAATTTTGAAGGAGTATCAGCCAAACTGGTGCTACTGGTTCATTTTCACTTGAAGCTTTCAAAGGAAACTGCTGAAATAGATCGGGCCACGTGCAGTCTTGTTTTACACAGTTACCAGACTTGTACCATTAGAAAATGCGGTGCATTTATTTTAAAGCATCCTTTCCACTGCAGTTGTGTGGAACAATGATCTGCTGAATTTAATTCACAGATCAAAGAGGGAGGAAATTAACCAACACAGTAAATTGATTATTTCATGGGTGACATAACCAAGGCAATGATTTATCTTAATAAAGAGCAACATCCCTCTAGTCCTTAACTGAATTCCAGCCAATGCAATAATACTCAGTTGTTAATGACTTTGATGTTGATGTGGAAAAGTGAATGACTGTATAATCACTGAAATGAGACCTCATCACAGTTGGAAATGTTTAAGCCAAATCATTTTGGACTGTGAAAAGAGCCCTGAGTGGTATAGATTGGCTGGGTCCCAGATTTTCAGCCTTAACTAAACAGGGTCTGAAAACTTTATCATACTGCCATGCCTCAGGCTGGTCTGCAATTCTGACAGCCCCAGAGAATTACAGTTTAATGTGTATGTGTGGACTCACTGCAGAAAAAGAATTCAGAATTTACAGAATGCCACGGCGGTACAGGAAACCCACCTCACGCAGGTTGAGGTTGAGGTTAATGAACTCAGACTTTGACTCCCAAGCAAATCCAATGGCCAAAACCGGCAAAGCGGGGCAAGCACGACATGCTGGTGCCGCTGAGCGGGCTCCAGGCTCGGGGCGCGGGGAGCTCCGGCCCTGAGGCGCGGGCAGAGCCGGCGGCGGCAGCTCGGCCCCGGGCAGAGCTCCCCTAGCCCTGCGCTGCCAGCCAAGGCCCAGCCCGGCACAGGGGCTGCCCTGGGCCGCTCCAGCTGCCGGCATCCACGGGGATCCACACGGCCGGGATCCACACGGCCGGGATCCATACGGCCGGGATCCACACGGATCCACACGGCCGGGATCCACACGGCCAGGATCCATGGGCATCCACACGGGGGAACGGGCCAGACAGCCGCAAAATGCTGGGATCGGCCCTAGGGGGAGCTGGGCGTGCCTGCCGCACAGCGCCAGCAATAAATACCTGCCTAGCTGCAGCTGTCTTTGGGAGAAGGAACAGAAGAAAGGAAACAGAAGCCAAATAGGAAAACTTGTACTGAGAGCTTATGTTTATATCCTACATCACTAAATATGGCTTAGGACGCTGAAATGCAGCATTAGTCATTTGTAGCAGCCTTCACCTCCCCCTTTACCCTTCCCTACGAACTCTTACAATAACAAACCAGACTAAAATTAGAGCTGCTTTATAGTACATTCATTTGATTATCATTGTCTCGGTACTGATTGAAGACCTAACATCAGTAGGAGGGATACCCTTTACATCGAGCTTCCCTGATGCTGATGCTCAGCTCTGGGATCCAAGGAGGAAGTCAGGTCCTATTTTTTCTGCTCAGGTTTCCTTCACAGCCACTCAGTTCCCAGAGAAAGATTCCTGGCATTGACTTTACCCCGTCCATGCCTTGTTAACTTTTCTTATTTTTTAAAAAAGACGGGAAGAACATTTTGCATCCTCCCAGCCTGGCATTGCCCCATACACACTGAGAGAAATCAAGAGGAGATGAGGGAGGAAGAATATGATGGCAAATTACGAAGTTTGCAAGTCCAGCTTTTCTAAGCTCAGCAGAGAGGCAGAGGCAGCTGCAGGTAGGTTTGGAGGAATTTCAAGAACTCACCCTATTTGAATACCACACAGCCTCCAGGCTCCAGAAACATGATACCCTGATGCTGATCATTTAAGGAGAAAAAGGGCTAAGGATTATTAAACTGCTCATCCAGGCCTGCAGCTGGGGGTGACTCAGAGTGCAGAGTTGGAAAAATGCCCATGTGGCAAGATTAGAAACTCATTTGTGTAGTTTATGTGGCCTTGCCAGGAGCCTCCGTTTTTTTTCCAAACCTTCAGTTTATTAACTTTAAAAGCACTCCTTTCCTGTTGGGGATCTGGCATGGCTGCAGCCCGGCAGCTCTTTCTCCTTTTGCATTAACAACACTTAAAGGCTTTCTTTCCTTTTCAAAATCGACTGTGTGAGATCATCTGGAATTTTCAAATGTGCTCGCTCTTTCTTTTCATTTCTTTCTTTGTCCCAGGGTTCAATTTAAATCCAAGTGCTTTTAAACTAACTGTATTCAGCCAGCCAGCACTTTCAGGAGTATATGTTATGAAAGCAGGAAAAGAAAAGGCCTTCTTGTCATCAAAACCATAATAATTATGTGTCAAATGTAATTACTGCTCTGTGGGTAATACATCTAATACTCGGTGACAGAGTAAGCAGCCTGCAGAAGTAGAAAGTAACTGGTGGCAGGATCAAATTTGGTATAAAATTAACCATCATGCTTAAATACTCTGTCTTATAAAGTTCTACCAAAAATGCAAAGGCAAGGAAAAAAGGGGTTTTTTTCTTCATCTAAAATTGTTAATGTGCAAAAGCTCAGTTCTCTCCACCTCCATACAATGAATCACAGCTCTTTTAAAATAAGAAACACTGCTATAAATGTGTACATTACAAGGATCACACTCTTGTGAAGGAGCTCATCTAACAGGAAGGAATTAAGTGTGGGAGTTCTCTCCTCTTAACCCATTATGTTTCCTCATTATTACCTTCACACTGCACGCTTGATTCATTCGATAAGAAACAAGCTTTCCACATTTCCCTACCTTCTTTAAAATACACAAACTAATGAGCAGCTGGTGAGACTGACATGTGCCTGTGAATTTGAAGACTACTGAAATGTGTAGTCATATTCTGAAGGAGCAAAAAAGTGCTATGTCAGGAAACAGTATTCTAAATATGACAGCAAGTGTGAGAAACTTGTCCAGTTTAAAAAATACATGTCCTCTCCTCTCTAACACTCTTCCAAGTAGACTTAAAAAACCTAACATAGTCAAAAAACACTTTAAAAAGGTAACGATTTGCTAATGTGAGTCTAGATTCTGAAAATAATCATCAATAACCATGTTTAGAAGTTATATTCTGAGTAAAATTAATTAATCTAATTGTTACCTAAAGGCATAAGTTTTTTGTAGGAATGATGTTTTTTACTAGAGTTAACATTACATATACATGTGTCTTTACTAATTTGTGTAGGCCTATATAAGGGTAAATTTGAGAATAATAAGTATACACTAAGTGGCTCTACATTCTAGTCCTTAGTTTTACATGCTCTTGCATGATAATCAGAAAAACAGGATTTCTGTACCTTTTCATTTCAACTTTATTAACATGCTTTGATTTTCTTTACATTTGCTTTGTCTTTCTATTTCAGGAATGTTTCCTAGCAGACATATTTAATAAAATATTAATAATATTAGAGATCTTTGAAAAGTTTGAAAGATTTTCAAAATGTCTTTACATCTGAATTAATTTTCTCAATCTAAACTTTCTTTGAAATTTTGTAACTCAAAATACTCGTCAAGTAACTATAATGCTTCATTATATAAGAAAGATTCATGGTTATAATTTATTATATTGGAAGCCTGATTTTAAAGATCACAGTCATCCAATTAAACAGTAGTGTTCTATCAAAGAATTAAAATCAGGTTTTTAAAAATCCAGCACTTAAAAAGGTGCTCCCAAATGAGGAATTGACCGATATTTTGTGATTTTTAAATTGCACACTTGGGAAAAAAGAAACTGGAAAATGCTGGACAAACCACCAGCCTTTAAAGATTTAGTATGGGATATTTATTCTTTTCTCTCTAGGTCTATTCCTTTTTCCACATATCAAAAAAAAAGCCCCAGATAAATTTTTTTACAATTTTTGGGTGCTCCAAATATTCTAGTAAAAACTAGTTGTTAAGTGAAACCCAAAGTTTGTCTCCAGTATTAGGTGTGAGAAAATGAAGGTACCTCATGGACTTGTTTTTGCCTGGTCAATAGGCATGTTCAAATACTATTCTGCTTTGTAATAAGACTTCGGCACACATTTCACTGACTACCAAACTATGGATATAGAGACATATTTAGCAGCATTTTCTAGCAGCCTCAGGGCAAGATTGTTTGTAAAAGTTATTGGTATTACCTAGAACAGGTAGATTATAGGAAAGTATTTCCACTAATTAGCCTCCGTGTTCTCATGTGTTTATTTCTTGAAAAGATACCACAATTCTGTCTCCTATAAATGGCTAATTGGCACCAACTTTAATTTATGGAAAGTAAGTGCTAGAAGAGCTCCACATTCAAGTTAGCAGTGAGAAACTGATTGTACCATAATGAAAGAGCAGTGGTGCTTAACAAGGGTTATTTCCTCAAAAAAAAAATTCATCCTAATGGATAAAATATTTGGGGTTTATCTGGTACACATACCTTGGGTATACTAAGGGTGCTTCCTTTAAATTTCAGTAATCCCAGTTCCACTAGGTGTACTATGTAGTAGAAGCAGTGCTGTCTGTACACGTAATTATCAGCACTTGAGGAACACAGGCCCCAAAGCATTCTCTGGCTTTCTTTGGATAAATAAGATTGTTGAAAAGAATGGCTCAGAACTGCCAGGTTTGGTTATGCTTTCTGAAGAATTAAGTCAACGTGAAAGAAATCATGTTTTCAAACAGTATTGCATTCTTTAGAATGATACCCCAATTTATTGTACTGTACTTACTGGGTCCCAGGTTCAAATGCTACTTCTGCTCATCAGTCACCGCTTGTTGCTTGAACTAAACAACAAATCTGTAATTTTGAACTTGACAAGAATTAGGTCCCAAAAGAAAAAAAAAATTCAAATACTTATGACTGGCTTCCAAATTGGAAACACTTGTAAGAGTTATATATTTTCCTGAAATAAATTAGTGATGAGGAGTTCAGATAGGAGCTACATAGACAAAAATAAAATAGTACAATAAGTATTTCAGGTACCAGAAAAGGGATTGCTGCAAGTAGATAGGTATAAGAGGAAAGAATATGTGACCTCAGCCTGCTGACTTCCTATAACACCAAAATAGATGCTTGATACCTCTGTTGTGTTAACCAGAAAATGACTGCCTGAAGCAAGATCAAATGTCTCATTAGCACTTATAATCGCTTCCATAAGATGAAAACAGATGAAAGAAGAAAGGATGAAATTCAAACAGCAGAGCAAAAAAAATGGATCACTTTTGTTCTGTGGTGTGCCTTCTCTCTCAGATGGGCCTCTTATAATTAACCTGAGTTCAACAAAGTCATTATAAATGGAGTTCCAGAAAATCTGATCCCACTTTTCACAGTGTTCATAAATACAGGGGATGGTTCATTGTATAACCACGAGTAATTACAATAAAGGATAAAATTTCTTCCTGAACAAAATTTTAATAATAGATTTATTACTACCTTCCAAACTGATGACAGCATGTTCTCTCACTTCCATATCTCTATGTTTTCAATATGGCAAAGAAATCAGCCTTAACTACTAGAAAAGTAATATTCTTCCAGAATTCTAGAAATCCACCTTGATTCCTTCTCATCAGGGAAGTTATCACTTAATTTTTTCTAACCTATGGGCTGTGCTAGCCTATGAGATTGCTGTTGATGATGCATGAAGAATAATATTGATTCATATTGCAGTTGCATAAATTTGATACGTGGAAAGACCTACCCGTGCACTGAATACATGAAATAAGGGATAGCTACATGCATTTGCTTGGCTACATTTAATGACTTCTGACATGTTCAGGAGCAGAATGCTAATAAGAAGTAGTTTTTAAGAAGTGATGCTGAAGAGATGGAGAGGCTGCTACAGTCACTCTACAGAGTGCAACATGGTAAGGACCACCAGGTTTCACCTTCAAGAAAAGATGACTGACAGGCTAATGACTATTCCAGGTTATGATAGGTGATGTTATTTTTCCATGCTTCTGTTTCTCTTGATTATAACATTTAATATTTAGTGAGGCAGCCAGTTCTGTGACATTACTTACCAGAAAGTACAGGCTCAGAACAGTGTGCTGTTATGAGAGAAAGTAGTTGTAAGAATCCATTGTTTCCTCCCATTTAATTAGTCATGGTTTAGTAAAACACAGTATGTTAGATGAATGTAGGTATGAACCCTTTTACTTTCTTGGTGCTTAGATTGCTGGTATTAGTTTATATCCACAAGTATAATAATTCAAATCTACTGACTTGACAATGTGCAAGTATTGTGTATTTGGACATAAGTGCAATAAGACCAAGAAAGATCAGAAACAGTTTGAATATTAGCATTCCCTTATAATTTTTCTGTCTTCCACTTAAAAAAAAAATCCTCAAATATCTCTGATGGAGGCTCACAAGGAAGAAGGTCTAGTAAAATCAAAATAAATAATTTGCATTTAAGGATAAGGGTAATATGTATGAAAGAGATGGATATCTTTCTTCATATGATTTCTTTGGTGATGGTGGTATTTACCTCCAGGTTCTCTAAATCAGTATTGTTATTAATGATTTATGAACAAAATGAGCTTTCAAAGGGACTGGGTAGCACCCTACTGAAAAATTCTTTATGGGGTAGATACTAAGTAGTAGTGGGTAGATACTAACTTCAGTTTCACGAACTGAAGTGGATATCATGACAACAAAGTTGGGTTTTATCAGAGTTTTAAGTGACTTGCAAATTATAAAAGTCTTAGAGTGTTCTCTGTGAAGAAAATGTCTCTGTCATATTTACATAGCCACATTTATTTTGGTGACACCAGGTAAGCACAGTCTTCTGAAGTGAACCAAAATGAAAAGTTATGACATGTAGGATGACATGGAATAGTGTGAAAGTCACAGCATTTACTTCACTGGATACTCACAATGTAGATCCAAGAATTACACACAATCTTAACTGGTCAGTATCCTTTATCAGCAGCTGTGAAAAATCCCACACACTGATGAAAATGCTGCAGAAAATGCACAACAGGTTCTGTGGAAGGTTGATGTTTTGCTGGTTTCCCACTTAGATGAATAGCTTCTGATTGAAAGATGAATGTAATGCATGATCTCCACAGTGGGAAGTTGTTCTTTTGGTGTACTATGTTTTTCATGCTAACTTAGATGTTTCTTTCATTCAAGCAATATGCTTATAGCAACTGCAAGATCAAGCTGTAACTGCAATGACCAGGGCTAAATTTAAGTAGCAAAAATGTTGCCTCTGTTTTCCACAAAGAAGAAAATGTTGATTTTAAAAGTAACCTTCAGTTTATATCTCCCCATCTCTCACCACTATTTAAATTTTCTAAAATCCTCTTCCTTCCCTGTGCAATTGTTCAGAATTTCTCCCATCCACTTTCTTCCTACATACAACAAATATGGCTTTAATATTGAATTTGCTGTACTTAATAATTATTAACACAGTGGAATTAAAAAATACATGCCAATTATCAAATTATTTTTCTTTCGCAGTTGTCTTAAAATTTTTCCTACCTTCATTTCCTGCCTTTAAAATCTTCCTCTTTGTGAGAAATTGTATATGTATAATAACTAAATCAAGACAGAGATGACTATGAGGCATTAAGCAAGTATCAGTTTTGCCCCTTAGTTCCACCATCTGCTGTGATACACACAGTGCACTTCCAAAAGAAAAATATTCTCTGCATTAAGCTCATTATAGAACTGACAAACTTTGATAAGAAAATAATAATTCTCTACATTGTCGCTTTTGCTATTTCAACATTTACTATCAACTGCTACTTAAATTCAGCTCATTACAACGGACACTGCACAATCTACTACACAAAAATACACATCAGCATTCAATCAATTTGGTTTGAAGTAAGAAACACAAAGGACTACCAAGATATACCTTGGGCTGTAAAGCCAAGGTTATCAGGTTCATAGGAAACCTGAAGTCAATTACACTTAGAGTGTTCTCCATCTTTCTTCAAGTCAAAAAATTAATGCAATTTTTTAAATCATGAAAATGTGTTAAATGTACAAAAGTAATAGAGATCCAAACCTTGTATATGAGATAAATATGCATTTTCCCACAAAGAACCTATGGTTTCATTTTTATGGAGACAACATCTTAACAGAACTAGCAAGAAAAAATACTGACACTGATAAGCATGATAAAATATTACTACCATACTCTATTTTTGTACAACAGCAATATATTACACACACATAAAATTAACTTAACCAGGAAGGCACATTTTTCAGAAGTTCAGGGAAACAAATTCAGTTTTATAAATAGTATTATCATGAAGTCATTCAAAACAATGGACCTTTCTCTCAACTATAAAAAGCTTCTAGATATGTTTTCTAATGTATCTTTATAAAACCAGGTTAAAAAAATAAAGGGAAAGGGATGAAAACTTTTTATTGAATGTATGCTACTCATGCTGCTTCTTGTACCTTTACAGATATACTGTACACATATGAAGATAAATTAGAATACATAGAGATGCACAGGAACCAAAAATTAATTATGATTAACATAATTATGATTAACATTTATTATAAAGTATATACCTATACTTTGGTAAAAGCACTGGTATGACTTTTTGCATGGTGACATTCTGTGCTCTGTCTGGAATTCACCCCTTACAAGCTTTAGGAAATGCTGAAAAACGTGGTTACTCACCATCAAGTTTATATAACCTTGCCCTGCATGAGAACTGCAACTGTCCCCTCCAAAATAAAAACAAAATAAGGAAGGGATACAGGGGTTCCCCTCCCCCTTTGCCAAATGAATACATTTCTGTGTCCTGTCCAGGCTCCAAGAGAAGGAAGTTGGGTTCAGTTGTCAGAGTGCCAACGCCACGGCTCAGGAGAATAGAGCTCCATTGCCTGTTCTTGCGCTGACGTCCTGTGTGAACCCGGGTAGCTCACAGTTCCCTCCCTTCCCCCGAAAAATGAGAATAGCACTGTCCTAAAGCCAGCTGTGGCACTGATAAATAAATATGAGGCTGAAAGATATCCAGGTTGTGTGAGGGGTGGGAGCACAGGCACAGCAATACAATCATTTCTCTTCTTTCGTTGGCTCACAGAATATTGCTGCACGACATACCTGGAATATACAAATGCATTTTCTCTTTCAAATTATCCAACACAGATAAAGATGTCTGATTCTAACCATTTCAACATTCAACCATTTCAGAAAACTGAGAATAACAAAGTCTGGGGGTTTGACATTGTGACATCACAGCCTAACATTACCCATCCATTTAGCCATTGTTATTAGACAGTAAATGTTACCACTCTTATTACTGGAATAGCCACAGACATAACAATGTTAGAGTATCCTAAACCAAATATTTTTGGATCTAGGGATTTGAGACATTTTTTAAATGTATAAGGGAATAATACTTAGGAGGGTAGTGGTATTGCTTGTACATAACCTACACTTGATGATGTGTGTTGTACTGTTCCAGGCAGAACAGCTTTACTGAACTCAGTGATCCATCTTTGATTTTTGTGATTCTGTCTTTCCTTCCACACATTCTCCTTTCAATTTATTTAAAAAAATAATACCTGATTTATTTAATTGGAACGTATTCCTTTAATTAAACTTGGAAATACTGTTGAGAGTGGAAATACTCTTGAGAAAAATACTAACTGTATTTCCTAGATTAGCTTATTACTTTTTATGGGAACTTGCAAAAGAGGAAAAAAAAGCTAACTAACAACCATTTGAAATGAAATCCCTTAGTCTTCATGGATAAGTATTTTCCTGTAAATATTTGATTCTCCATTTACCCACTGTATGTCCAGTAAAAACAAGGGATGGAAAGTGGCCATTTCGGTGACCTTGTGTCCCTCCCTTAGAGGAAGGCAGCTGACAGGTAGATATATGAACAGTTTGTTATTGCAGATTCCAGATCTTGTGATTATCTCTGACTCAACTTCTGGGGTTTTATCTGGAATTCCTGTGCCAGGTCAACTTGTGTACTACTCCTTGTCTTTACCTTGTAGCGACCCCAGGTTAAAAATACACCTTACAATAATACATAACAGTTTCCAAAATTACTGGTTGAATTGAAATAATGATGGCAAGCTCCAGACTAAGAATGATCCAAAAGATATGTCTCAAAATGTAGACTTCAGTTTATCCATGAAGATATTGTCATTATGTTATTATGCTATCATTTATCTATACTTTTGTTGGTTTAGTTTTCAGATTTACTTGATGCAGTAGATACAGTAGATAATTACCATTCATTTTCTTATTTAATAAACCATATCAATTATATAATCTTTCAGCATATTATGTGATACTGCCAGATGACATATTTTTAAATTCCTTTTTAGAATTGCTTGTGAATTATTTGATGAGGAAAGGTAAGTATTTACATTTAAATCTCTTCTATGTGTTTAGGATATAGTTCTATATTTATTCACTGTAAAATAAGCAAAATATAACTTATGAATCAGTGTCACTAATATTTATAAAGTACTCTAAGTTCCTCTGGTAAATATTTTGGCAAGAATGTGGCACACATTGGCAAATTTTGTCCAAATCTTCCTGATCCTTTATCCAATATCAGGTTATATTTCCTTGCCTCCCCTAAATAAATTTCAAATTCTGCTGATGTCATGTCCTTTGCTAATATTTTTTGCCACATTAGGCCTCTTCAAAAGTTTTATTATTTTCCTCATCAACAGAAAAAGAAAAACCACTTCAAATTTTTGAAAGTTATGGATGTCTTATTTTTGAAATACATCTTAGTAACCTAGGATAAGGTCATCTCTGGCCTTTCTCACAGCAAAAAATAAATGCATTTTATTCCTCTTCCCCATCATTCACTTCCTCCTGTAGATAGCATAGATGTTCTGGCAGAGATTTGCTGACATTTTGCTTCCTTCTCATTAATCTCTATCTTCTGAGCCCTCACCACAGCACACCTATCATTCTTAGGGTAGTGTTGCAGGATTTCTCCAATTTCCTGTGGGAATATCTTTCTAGCAAGATGCAGAAGCCAGGAGAGAATTGTGACAATGCACTAAAAAGTGAACAATGCACATGTTATTGGAGAACTAAGGGAGGAACAGGGGACAAGAGTTCTGCTATTTTTGTTCATGTCTCAACACAAGATTAGCCTTCCCTGCACGTAAACACAGGAAAACAGGACATCTTCTCCTTCAAACTTGGACTTCAAACTGAAAGTTAGAGCAAGTACCTAGATTTGGGTGGTTTGCCATGGCTCAGTCCTGTCTCTGTGCTATGATTTGTTGTTTCTCAGTAGTACTGGCTCACTTAGATTTCCTGAAAGGTGCACAGGTACCAAGAAATATAGCAAAATAAATGGATCTGAAAAACAATAAAAAGCACTTCATTAGAGATTGAATTTATAATGCAGAAATATGTATTTATTTTTTTTTTTCAGTTACAGTGTTGCACAACCTTTGTAACCAGGTTTGGATAAAATAAGCAAGAAGGAAATACATAAAGGAGTCTGCTGCCTCAACAAAGGCATGTGGATGTAGCTGTTGAGTAGATCTCTACCATTTTAGATCCTCTGTGGTATCAGCCTTGCCTCCAGCCACCACTCCAGAAGTAACCAATATTTCCATACATCTTACAGCACATGTTCTGTGTGCACATGAATATGCCAAGTATCTCAGAACATCTCAGATGACACCAGATGTTTGACTTGGAAACTGGGGACCACCCTTCACACCTGCATGCTTGTGAGCCTGTTGAATCTGAACTAAATAAATACACTACAAGTCTCTCTTACTGTGCAGGCAATGTATACCCAACTTCAGAATCAGTCTTTTTATGCTTCTTTAAGAATAATTCCCTCACTGCAAAGCTTTAGACTGATATTCTTTATCTTCTCTTGTTATGAGATGTTAAAGACAAAAATTGCATAATAACATAATGATATGTTAAAGCAGAAATGCTTTGGAAATTGATATCCATGCTCCTTAAGCCAGCACTTCCCTTCATTGCTTCCAGTTTTCTCAGCTGCCAAAGAGGACAGGTTTTTTTTTACCTCCTCCCCATTTTTTCCATATGCCTGTGCATTACACTATCTATAGGGTGACAAATTTGGAGTGCACACAAAGAATTAACATATTTAATTTTTAGAAAATACACACACATAACAATTCTTTGTTTGATTTAGAAGAGTGATTATAGCCAAAGTGGCATTATACCAATTACTAGCTCTTTCCCAGAAAAATTAACAATAGATTTAAATCCAAACTGCTAGATGACCTGGGAAGCTCACTGTTGTGAATGTGGCTCTAGAATTATTTTCTTTTTGACACCATACCTCACTGGAGAAGTTAAAGTGCTGCTATGTCATGGATGTTGACATAAGTGGAAAAATTAAAAAGAAAAATTAGTTTATGAAACAAGTTATCTGGCATTTAATGGTGAATGGTGGAAGGTTAAAGATGTTAAGATCATAGCTGATAACAGAAAACTAGAAAACAAAAGAAGTAGCCTATGACCTATGGCTTTCAGGCATATAGGAAAATAAACATCTGACTTGAAAGGTTTAATCCTTAACCCCTTTACATTTTGCAAGGGAAGCTGCTTATAGTTGGACATTTTGCATTTCCACTCAACAGGCCACCATGCTGGCATACAGTGTCTGAATCAGAAATATGGATTCTAACCAAAATGTACTGCTGAACATGAGGATCCTCGACTCTGCTCAGGTTATCAATTTCTTTTCAGCTTATTTGTTACATCTATGGAAACAATAACCTATTGTGTCAATAATTTTATTCTAATGATGGAACAGTTGAACAATTATCAGGAAAATAAACATTTTCAAAAAAGACTGGCTACAGGAAAGGAAATAAAACATCATATAAATAATGATTACATAATATCTTCCATTTGATAGTCTGAGTTACTGCTCTTCCTTCACTTGTAAAATGTTCTCTCCAGTTTTGTTCCTTCGTACAAAATATCTTAAGTCTGTTTACAGAAAAAATAATTCAACTTACATTGTAACTGCCAGCTTCTTTTAAAAGTGTCTATAATGCACATATTTGCATAACTCTGCATGTTTTCAGGTGCAAAACATTATGGCTTCTGAATCAAAACACCCCCTAAAAAATGCTTAAGACTATCCTTACCCAAGAAATATCTTCACTGAGGTTTAAATAAAAGCAAAAGGAGATGATTTTGTGAATTGAAGCATGACACATAGGCATTTTTTAAAATATTCTGTAACAAATAAGAGTGCAAATAAAAAATTAGGACATTTTCTTATTGACATAACTTGTGCTGTCATAATTTCAAAATGCCTCATTGAACTGAGGAGCCTGTTGCTACAGATAATATGCAGATGAAGTAGGAAGCAGACATATCTCATGTCTGCTTAAGCAAAGCAGACTGTACCAAAATATACAGAAATAGCTGCATGGAAGCATTAAGTACCTTACCAGCATGTCAGTGAAAGAGTAAGCTTAAATTGGTGGGTTACATGATGAGAATTTTGAAGTTCTGAAGACCTCAGACCTAGCTAGATGTATGCTTTTTCTGTCCATTCAATAATTTTCTCTGCTTTTATCTGTTCTGCTCATACAGCACACATCCACATGGCAAACGATGGCTCCATTCTGGTCAACAGAAAAATGAAATATTTGCTGTATAGGTAAAATAAATGTTTCTCCAAAGAAAAGGATGTGGCTTTTATGGTTGCATCTATTCATTCAGAGTCACCGTTAAGGTCATAAAATTGACAACTCTCTTTTGTCAAGATTTGCAAATGAAAGATTAGCAATGTGAGTGCCCAGACTCTTTTACAGAGTGCAGAGTTTCCTCAGTATTATTGACACAACCAATAAAAAATATTAGTAAAAGATTAATGATTGGAAGGTACTAAACACCTGCTTCTGTAAAACAAGCTTATTCAAGACAAGGAAAGATCTGACACTTTCCAAATAATTTCTTAAATTTTATCAAAACTACATCTCTAACACAAATCACAAAACAGAAGTTAAAAATTCTGGTTGTATAAGAGCAAGAGATGCTTAACAAAGTCACATGAAAGCTACTTTTGACAAACTAAATTTAACTAAGTGCAGAAAATCTGGAGTGGTTCCTCTCCAGCGACACAGTAGGTGTTAATTTATTAATCACTCTTCTTTTGCTAACATCATCCCTAGGACATTATACCCCCCATATTCTTAAACAGGCAAGGGAGACTAACTGCACATTATACGTGGCAGCTAACAAAATAAGTCATTAAATGCCTAGGAAAAAACAGACTTGAATAGATGGTATGCAACAGAGAAAGACAGTTGACAAAATATGGATTTTGCAAACATCCATTAATCAAATAAATTCAAATATTTGTTTAGAAAATTGTCTTTCACAGATCAAAATGAGTGAACTAGTATTGTCAAACAACACAAATTGAGCATTTGGCTTGACATCAAAACAATTACTGAGAAACAGTCAGTGTAGTCTTTATTCAGATTCAGGGCATCTTCCTTTTTCAGGACTCCCATTCCTGTTTCTAGGGCCATCCAGAGAGGCAGATGCAGAGCAAAGGAAATGGGTACAGTTCAGTTTGCTCCTTGCTATCTTAGCTGGTATTTGGTGTGCCATTACCTTATGCTAGGAAAAACAAATCAAAACAGGACATGTTGCCAGCAGATGAATTCATAGTTAAAGGAACAGCTAACAGTTGTAAGATGTTTATCAGCTCTGCTTGCTCGTTTTGCAGATGTATCCATACTTTCTGTCATATTATGTTCTTTTTTTTTTTTTTTTCACTGTAATGTGGTAGAGACATCCCAATGGTCAGGATTCTCTGTGCCAGCAAATTCTAAAAGATATTCTTAAAACAAATTCACGATGAATGACAAGTGGCAGTAGAAATCCATATGCTACCCAGAGGATAATGCAGCAGTGTTTCCTGAACAGCCTCCATGCTCCTTTATGATAGAGATTAGATGGAACCAGAATTTAATCTGCCTGGCAGCAATCACAAATGAGGGATTCAGCAAAAATTCGGGTCTTCAAAATAGAGGATTATGCTCACACATGTGTGCATACTCTGGGAAAAAAGAACTTACAGTATGTAATATATATGCTTTAAAAATTAATCATTCATTAAAATGTATTAGTCTTTCCTCCCCATAATTTCTTCTTTTCAATTGGTATTCCTTCTGTATAAAAGTACTAGAAAACTTGTAAAAAATCAAAAATAAATAACCTCTATTTTTTATATTTTGTCTTTCTGAAACTATCTTTACCTCAAAATGCCTCCACTGAAAGTTCCACAAAATATTTGCATAATCCATATAAATAAATCTTGATTTTAAAACCTGAAATATATGAAACAAATTTTATGTGTTTCTGCTTTTTTGCTTCACTGTGCTCAAAAAGTTAAGTATTTTTAAGTGTAAACTTAAAAAAAATAGGCTGTTAATATAAATTTAGATTGATAAAACAAAATGCAATGTCCAAAACTTAGAAAAAAATATTTTTTGAAAACAAATTCATACTATTTCTTCAAAACCTGGGTCTTGTCTTACAATACATAAAATATAAAGCTGATAGAACCATTGAAGGTTGCTTTTAAAAAAGGGGGTTTTTAATTTAGTTATTTATTTCACTCTCTGTTTTTTATTCTTTATTATTTAAATTAACTATTTATTTATTTTACCTCTATCAGTTGAGCAAATAAAATTTAAATCACATACTTATATATTCTTTTGCTCTCATTGGCAGCAGGGAAAAGCAGAACTATGTTTTGTAGGGTGTCATTTTTTCTTACGCTGCACTGAATGAAAGTGCTGCTCTAAGAATAGAATAGAATAGAATAGAATAGAATAGAATAGAATAGAATAGAATAGAATAGGAATAGGAATAGGAATAGGAATAGGAATAGGAATAGGAATAGGAATAGGAATAGGAATAGGAATAGGAATAAGAATAGGAATAGGTCTTCCTTCAGTTGGAAGGGACTTAAAACAATCATCTAACCCATCTAATTAACCACTTCAGGGCTGACCAAGTCAGACCATGATAAGGGCCAAGGGGACCAACTGCCTTTCCAGGAATGTTCCAGTGTTTGACCAACTCTCCAGAGCTCCAGTCTGAACCTCCCCTGGTGCAGCTTTGAACCATTCCCACATATCCTCTCACTGGATACTAGAGAGAAGGGATCAGCACTGCCCTCTCCTCATTCCCTGTCCTCAGGGCTGTCCTCCAGACACTCCTCTCCTCATTTATACTTGTGCCCAGCATTACTCTGTGTTAGATACAGAATCCAGCACTTGGACTTGTTAAATTTCATCCCATTAATTATTTCCAGTGATTTAATCTGTGTAGATCCCTCTGTAGTGTTTCGTGTCCTTTAAGAGAACCAAAAGCACCTCTCAGTTTGGTGTCATCAGCAAACTTGCTAACAGTGCATTCAACTTCTGCATCCAGATTAGTGATAATTATATTGACCAGCATGGGCCCTATAACTGAACCCTGAGGAACACCCCTGATGACCAGTCACCACGTATTTGCAGCCCCATTCACCAGAACATTTTCAGCCCTACTGTTCAACCAGCACACCACAAACCCACTCATCCCACAGCTGGCCAACTTATCCAGAAAGGACAGTTGTGTAAGAGGCCATATCAAAAGCCTTACTAAAATCCAGAAAAACTACATTCACCACCCTTCATCCATTAGGCAGGTGACCTTATTATAAAAGGATATCAGATTATTTAAACAGGAGTTACCTCTTGTGAACCCATGTTGTCTCTGCCTGACAACTGCATCATTCTTTAAATGCCTTTCCATGCTACCCAGTATAATCTCCAGTATAATTTTCACAGTGACTGCGGTTAGGCTAACATGTATGTCATTCCCAGGTCTTCCCTCAAATCCTTTTTTGTAAATTGGCTAGCTTCCAGTCAGCAGGGACATTCCCGGACTCCCAAGATATCTGGCAGATGATGAAGATGGGTATTACTGTAACATCTGCTAACTCCTTCATTGCTCTACGATGTATCTCTTAAGGATATGTGAACATTCAGCTGATAGAATCAGTCATAGAAGCACGGAATGGTTTGAGCTGGAAAGGATCTTAAGGATCATTTAATTCCATTTAATGCCATGGGCAGGGACATCTTTCCCTAGGACAGGTTGCTCAAAGTTACATCCAGCCTAGCCCAGAATAATTCAGTAATGGGGCATCCACAACTTCTCTGGGAAACATATTCCAGTGTCTCACCACTTTCACAGTAACAAATTTCTTCCTAACTTCTAATATAAACTTAGTCTTTTTCAGTTTAAGGCCATTACCTCTCGTCCTATCACTAAATGCAGGTGTTAAATGTCCTTTTCCAATTTTATTATAGGTCCCCTTCAGGTACTGGAAGTTGCTGTAAGGTCTCCCTGGAGCCTTCTCTTCTCGAGGCTGAACAACCTCTACTTTTTCAGCCTGTCTTCATAGGAGAGGTGCTCTAGTCCTGTGATCATCATTATATGAACTACTGGAATTTGACAGCAATAGATAATATTTTTATCTAATTCACAAAGACGATGAAACATGAATTATATCTTACCAAAAAAAATCCCCTTGTGTAGATGAAATTGTAGAAAAACAAAAAAAAACTTGACTTTCTGAAAACTATATCTAGATTTTTTTTTTAAACCTCTTTCTTCACTATTGCCTTCATATACAACCCTAAGAGCTCTGTAAATTTCAATGTGCATTGATTAATGTGTATGATGTATTATTTTGACCTGTACCAGCTCCTGTCAAGCATGCAACTGGAGCGTCTCTATATTCCATTTGTTAAAAAAAAAATAAAAAGCATTGGAATTTTTAGTTAACATAAAGAACCAACACTAGCTAATTAAAGGGACTGGTTAAAACCATATACAGGCCTGTTTGTTAGTCTAAGCTCAGTTTCTGCAAAAATATTCAGGACAGAAAAAATTGGAGAGGAGGCCTGCCTCAAACTCTTAAAGTTTGGAAGAGTTCAATAATTTTTAGATTATCTATCCCACATGTTAAATGAAGTTTCATAAGAACTCCATCTATAGATTACAGTTTATCAAAAGACAGAACTGGAGCTACACCTGCAGAGAGTGGAAGAGCTTTTTCTTCTTCATTTACTGCAGGAATTGGAGCACCAGCAGTAGAGGTGGGTGCTGAGCCCACAGTAGGTGTTTTCATGTGGCTTCTTCTCCCTCTCACCACTACTTCTGTAAAAGTACAGAAGCAAGCTAATGACAAGATCCAGCAGAAGAAAGTAGAAATGGCCAAAGAAGGTCATTTTTCTTTGGTTACAAATATGGTTAGATGTTTGGTTCTAACTTGTCCTTCCTCTATAGTGGTTTATCTCAGCTTTTCTTGACACCGATATCGGTCACCCTTTTCTCCATTTCTGCACCTTTCTAGTCCCCAAACAGAGCTGCAGGAGCAATTTGGAGGTGGAGAAGGAAGTGTGCAGCCATGAGGCTACACTGACCCCTTCCTCTTTGCTTCCAGCAAGAAATTATGGAACTATTGCAACGTTTGCTGCCATCATACATAACAAAAAACCCCAATAATAAATAGTTATATCTCACCAGTTGATTATTTTTTTAATTCTCAGTGGACACTTTGCTGTAATAGGGATATTCAAAACAAAAGGGA